AGGGGCAATTCAAGACTCTATTCTCCTTTCTGAGAAGATATACAGATTGTCTTCCTTTGGGTTAACAAGTTTACCCAGATTTTCAATTTTTTATAAGGTGTCAGTTCCTTCATTTTAAAAAATGTGCCTGTGATTCTTCTCCCCCAACAAAGGAGCGCCTGCTTATTTATACCCTCTCCAAACAAACCCATTTCTTTCAAGTGGATTCTGACTCAACGCCGCCCTAAAATAGGACAAAAGAAAAATTTCCCAGAGGGTTTCCAAAGTTGCAATCTTTATGGAGGTAAAACACTACAACTTTCTCCCAGAAAGTGGCTGATGGGCTCAAAAAGCCCACCTTTCAGTTAGTGGCCGAGTGCCTACACCGTCTGCAACACCAGCGGCCGTCTGTAATGCCAGGGCTCCTCGGTTATGTATACAGACTCCAGCAAATTGTTTGGGGAAGGATTTGAGAGCCTTTGGATGAGTGCTGATACCCTTCCCCTTGCAGCCCACCTCCTTGGAGGGGAGAATAGTTATAATAGAACTTTACTTCTCATTTGTTTTCCTTCTTAATTACACTGGGGAGTGGTGTATACTCGTGAGGGTTATGGCTTATTCTTTATGTATCTGCTAAGCTCAGCAATGACTAAGGGCAATAGCTAGTTACTCAAATTTGTCTCGAGGAGGTAATGTAATAAATTGAAAGAGAGATGCAATGAGGCATCAGCATTAAATACGCAGAGAGTGCAAAAAAGCCCTAAGCGAAGCACCTTACCCTGCCTTCTCTGCTCTTACACTGCCCAGCGGGGCAGACACATCACCTCATTTCACACTTAGATGGCTGCCCAGGTTTCCTTTACTTTAAAACCCGGCAGAGTGAGGCATGGTGGCCGAGAGTAGGCGCCTGTTAAATGTGTAGGACATCGTGGTGACCCTCTGGAAAACCCTATGCGTTCCGGATCGGAGTGAAGGGGGCCTTTTCTGGTGTGCCGCCCATAAGGTGCCGTCTGTAAGGCAGAAGGGACAGTCTCACTGGGTAAGTTACAGACAGAATATAAGTTTAATAAAAGACCGTGTACTTTCCTTCTCTCAAAATGAAATAAAAGGCAATGCAGCACAGCAGCGGCGTACTTTTTAGACGGTGATGGTTACGTGACTGAGTTCTTCATGACAGGGCCATCATGAGAGTAATCTCCTTGATTAACATGCATTCAGGCTGTCATCCCAGTGAGCATGGCGGTGAATGAGTCTGTGGGCAGCGAGTTAGAACGTGGCTGAGGGCAGGGGTGGCTGCAGGCTGGAGGGTGCCCCATGTGAAGAGAGCGGGATGCTGTGAACCCAAAGGACTAAAAGGCCAGCAAAGGGCCTTCACTTCCAGAGGAGCATCCAGACCCCGGTGACCCAGTGCTCACAACATGAACAAACCGTGCCACCTCCCAAAGTGCCTTAGTGCCCATGGCAGGGTTGAGTTTGCTGTTCTCAGAGCTCATTTCCCAGCCTCCTTTGCAAAGAGGGGCCACCAACAGGACGGGGATGAAAGTGATGCAAGCCACCTTCAGTCCCCCCCTCTCCGAGAAAAATCTCTCCAGCTTCTATTCTTGCCGTGATAAGACGGCAAACATACTCACGTCAGGCACATTTCTAAAATGAACGCTCACAGAGTATAGATTGATAGCGTATAAACAAGTGGCCTAGATACACATTCATTACTGAGGTGACACTGAGCTAACGTTAATCCCCAAGAGCCCATGGGTCTATCACATAAAAGGACCGTTTGCTACTTTCTTGGAAAGGCAGAACAGGGAGGTCTCTTCTAGAAAACATAACGCCCGGCTTGTAAAAAATGTAGACCGGAGACTCGCACGTTCAGAGCAAGTTCTGAAGTGTGAAGATAACCCTCCCCATTAGGACATTCTGGAAAATGTAAACGGCTCTCTATCCTCTGATCTTCAGGATTTGTTGTCAGTGAACAAGCATGAAACAGATGGGGAGATGTATTTATGGTTCTCCCCTTTGCAACATGCAATATGATGAAGATAAGACCAATTAAATGATGGCTGTGATCTATTTTAGCGCTTAGTCAAATTAGAGGAGGCTGCAGAGGATGGGAAAGCTTGCTCCCCAAGGAGGCCAGGAGAGAGAAGAGTCGGAGCATTTCAGGGGCTGAATAAAAACGTCAGGTAATATGAGGAAGGACAAAGGGGTGGATACAGATTTTTCTCCACAACGAAGACAAGCACAAAACCAAAACCAGCGCAGTGTTTAAAGTCTCAGTTTGCCGTGCAGCTGCTTACCTCATAGCAATGTACGGATCCAATGAAAACTTTCCCGATATCCAGCAATTCAAAGTTGAAATGAATCTGGGGTCCCATCCCTTCCCCTTTGATTCGGAGAGGCAGGCGGATCTCTCGGCCTGTAAAACAATCCCAAAATGTGTTACCCCAAACAGTGCTGCACCACAACCTGTTTCTGATGAACAGGATCAAGACTGTGGTACCATTCCCCCCCCCCCACCCACTGAGGGAACGACAATTTCATCCATGTGGAAGAGTTGGTGTACTTTTAGGACGTGGGAGTAATTTAGTAGGGCACACACACAAAAAGTAAGCTTTTTCTGAACCCAATTCTTAACATTATTCTGAAATTTCCTATAAGGAAGCACTTTCTCAAGCAGAGGACAGTCATTGGTTTATGAGTCTATATGATGAGAGTTGCCATGCTGCCACATCTCCAAGGGCATTGTTCACCTTGATCCTCCCAAGATGGAAGACGATCCCAGGTGTTGGAGAACTATGTCCAGGAGCCTGACTCAGATTTTCCACCATAAGGAAGTAAAGGAGTCCCCTCCACAGTACCCATTAAACCACATTCGCAGCGGACCGAGCAGCAACAAGGAGCACATACCCTTTGCAGGACTGATTGTGTTGTCTTTTCTTACATGGAAACATCGTTCTCTAGTAATACATGAACATCATAAAGAAATGACAAAGAACATGAAAAATGATCTCATAATTCTATCACCCAAAGATAAATCACTGTTAACATTTGATGCCTGCCTCTTGTGTGTTTTGTAATGCCTGGATATTAATGTAAATTAGAGCAGATGCTATATGTAATTTTTTAACTTTTTTCTTTTCCCTACCTAATAATGCATCTGGAACATCTTTTCTTTATCACTACCTAATTCTTTCCTGGAACCCTGGTGGAGAAACACTGGCCTAATCTAATCCGTGATTAAAAAACAAATCAAAGCCAAGCTTCAGTCCGTATACCCACACTCAAAATCATTGCCAGGGAGTGAATGACAACATATAGTGACCCTATAGAACAGGATAGAACTGCCCCTGGCCAGTTTCTGAGACTGGAATTGTGAACAGGAGTAGAAAGCCCCATCTTTCTCCTGTAGAGGGGCTGGTGGTTTCAAACTGCTGACCGTGTGGACTGCAGCCCAACTCAGAACCACTACGCCTGCCACCAGAGTTCCTTCAGTCCTTATAAGGCAGCGGTTCTCAACCTGTGAGTTGTGACCCCTTTGGGAGTCGAACGACCCATTCACAGGGTCGCCCAATTCATAAAAGGAGCAAAATGACAGTGATGAAGTAGCAACAAAAATAATGTTATGGTTGGGGGGTCACCATAACATGAGGAATTGTATTAAAGGGTCGCGGCATTAAGAAGGGTGAGAACCACTGTTATAAGGGCTGGTCTATTTCCAGTCCTTGTTTCATGGGCTGTGACCTGGGGCTTACTAAGACCCTTTCTCCTGGGGCATCTCATCAATTCCAATGTTTTATTCTTTAGTCCTACTTACTTTTCAGGTTCCATTACAAAGACAGTACCACTAAGTGGTCAGCAAAAGCAAGTGTCTTGCTTTCTTTCTACTAGGTCCCGTAATTCGTCACTGACCGGACATTGAAACAACATTTTGTCTAGCTTTTCTGGTTATTCCTAGAGAGGAGGCTGATCCAAATTACCCAGTTCATTATCATTGTTAATAGAATTGGCACATCAAAAGGGTACATATCAACATTGTGGTAGCTATAGACAGTGCTTTCCAGTAAGGTTGCAGTAATCTACACACATATGAATAGTATTTAAGGATTCTTATCTCTCTCTCCTCCTTATCAGTGGTTACCACATTTGAAAATACATGGTAATTTGATAAGTTTTTCTTGAATGTCCACCATTTACATTTCAAGGCCTTAAAGGAAAATGACTATATTTCTTCTGTATGTAATATTTCAACACATTGGATGCTTTGTTAGGTAACGGTCAGTATTGGAGCAAATGCGCTTTGGACATCCAAGTGATGGCTCTAATGTGTTACATCATCATTATAATGTGATATTTTATATTCTACTGTCTTCTGCTGCTATTTAACTTTGGGGTCTTTAGTGGTTTCTACCCATGACTATCCTTTTGAAGACAGGAGCACCCGTCTCTGTGTCCCCTCTGGTGCCTGGCAACATGATGAACAATCAGTATGGGAGTATTAATGATAATGAAAGCCATCCTAGCAGTGGCCGGGGCACTGCTGTTCACAGTTATTCTCTCCATCAGATCGAGGTTCCTCTAAAGAGCAAAGGTAGGTGATGACAACACACTAGAACAGAAGTTTCTAGAACTTTCTTGGATCCCAAAGCTCACTATTTGCATCCATTATATTAGAGCTCTACTCTGTGGCCAATAGTTTGCACTCCTTGGTAAGAGAAAAGTATTTTGATAAGAATCCAACTTTCCAAATAGCTAAGAGAGAGACTTATAAACACACGATGGAATGGACTGCAGGACTATTTATAACTGTCAGACCAAAAGATTTTCCCATCTGTCACCTTGACTGCCTTCCTTTAAAAAAAGTGGAGATGTGTTGTAATAAGCAATGAGCCGATGTGCCTTCGGGAATTCTTAATTACTTCAAAGGCGTGTGTCTTATTTGTAGCTAGCCACTCCCCCTCCCAACCAAGAGAGAGTGGGAGTGCAAAGTAATATCTAACCTTGCATTTACAAAAATTAGTCTGGGTTTTATGGTCAAATTACAAATGCTACTTTTTCCCCCACAGGATTTTGTAAGCAGGGGTTTACCTTGTAGGCAAAAGGTAGCAAGGTATAGAAGCTTGGAGGCAACAGTAGGCTCTAAGTGCAGATTCCTTTTAGATAGAAAAATATTTCTAAAGATAGGGCAATTTTTCACCCATGGTTACAGTCATCCTGGCTTCACCTATGAGAATCAGAGGGATGACCCCTTCAGTGGAGCTGAAATCCCAGCAAGCAGCAGATTCTATTGCATTAAATTTCAAAAAGTGCAGGCCATGGGCTTTTACAAAACTCGCCACCTAAGATCTCCTGGAAGTCCAACATTCTGCTTCAGCTCCTATCCTATGTAGTAAGAAAGGAAAATGAACATTTTTTAAAAGTAGGAAGAAAATACTCTCGTTATTAATAAATTTTAGGGCTGTCTACCTAGAAAGCAGGAGACCCTGGGTGATGCAATTGGCTAAGCAGTGGATCCTTGGAAGTGAGCCTGACAACCAGCTTCGGAAACATTACAACCTTGACAACCCTATAGAGTGGTTCTATTCGGTACACATGAGCTTGCCAGGAGTTGGAAGAGACTCAAGGGCAGCTAACAACAAGAATTGAAGCTATCCAAAAAGAGCTACAATTTTAAAATGACTAACGATAGATGGTGGGCAAATCAATATGAAAAAGCTAACTGCATTTCCATGGTCGGCAATGAGCAGAAAATGGAATTTCCAAGATATTACTTACAATGGAAACAAATATATAAAGTACCTATAAATAAATCTAACAAAATATACCCAAAGCCCATTAGTAGGCCACAATTGATGTGTGTATGGATTGCGATAACAGTTGTATGAGTCCCTAATAAAATGTTTAAAATATATATATACTTAAGTATTTCCAGGAGGAAATTGTAAAACTTTATTGACATAAATTAGTATGGTGCCTGGCTATCAAAAGATATAGCGTCTGGGGTCTTAAAGGCTTGAAGATAAACAAGCGGCCATCTAGCTGAAAAGCAACAAAGCCCACATGGAAGAAGCATACCAGTCTGTGTGATCATGAGGTCTTGATAGGATCAGGTATCAGGCATCAAAGACCCAGAACAAAATAATACCCAATGTGAATAGGGGTGGGGGCATGGAGTAGAGACCCAAAACCTATCTGTAGACAATTGTGGACATCCACTCAGAGAAGAGTCAGAATGAAGAGACGAGTCAGTCAGGGTGCAGTATAGCACTGATGAAATATACAACTTTCCTCTAGTTCTTTAATGCTTCCTTCCCCCCACTATCATGACTTCAATTCTACCTTACAAATTGGATTAGACCAGAACACGAACACTGCTACAGATAAGAACCCGAAACACAGGGAATCCAGGATACATAAACCCCTCTGGACCAACAAGGAGAATAGAGATACCAAGAGTATAAGGGGAAGGTGGGGGAAGAGAGGTGGAATCAATCACAAGGATCAACATATAACCCCCTCCCAGGGGGATGAACAACAGAAAAGTGAATGAAGGAGCGACAGAGGATGATGGAAGATATGAAAATAATAATGTATAAGTTATCAAGGGTTCATGAGGGAGGGCAGGCAGGGGAGGGAGGGGAAAAATGAGGTGCTGATACCAAGGACTCAAGTAGAAAGAAAATGCTTTGAAAATGATGATGGCAGCATATATACAAATGTGGTTGACACAATGGATGAATATATGGATTGTGATGGGAGATGTAAGAGTCCCCAATAAAAGTATTTAATAAAAAATATATATATATATATAATAAATTAGTCAAGATCAAAATTAGTGGAGAGGTAGAATATGATCTTGAATAAGAAGACTTGATATAAAATAAATCAACTTTTAATTGCACAATCATTTTAGTTGCACAATCATTAATATGATTGAACTATTGAATTGTGTGATATTTGAATTATGTGCCATAAAAAATTAATTTAAAAAATGCCAACTTTCCCCCCAATTGATCCATATCAATGCTAAACAGAATATCAAGAAGTAGAATTTGATGTATTGATTCTAATGTAAAATAAAAGGACTATGAATAACCAAGATATCCCCAAAGAAGAATAAAGTGGAGGGACTTGCTGTTTGAGATATTGAAAGTATAAAATGACAGTAATTAAGAAAATGTGCTATTATAACAGGAAGAACAAAAGGGCTCCGGAGCCATAATCAATAACTCAGACCGGATGCACTATAACCATATATCAAAACAACAAGAGGAGGCCATTCCACACCTACCAGAAGGGCAGAAGTGGAACCGCTGGTTAATATTAAAGGGCTGGCCATGTTATGGAGCACCAGTGGTGGGAAAGTAAGTTGGCAGAATTCCTTTGTAGAAGGTTGATCTAGGACACCTGAATATGCAA